TTTTTTTTTTTTTTTTTTTTTTTTTTTTTTTTTACCAAAATAGGAAAAAAATTATGGAACAAAAAAGAGACTTCAGCAATTTTAGGGTATTATGGACCATTTTTACTGAAGTGTGCAGTAGCAATAAATTTTATTATAGATTTTAAACTTTTTTTTCAGTTGCAAAGACACTAGCACCTTAACAGAAACATGTGCTGTTACACTTTTAACACAATCTGCACAAAATGCTTCCAGCTAAGTGGCAGCATAGCAAAAGAATTCAACCTTCCATTGTCACAGATGAAGCGCTGATTTTAAAGGCTACTTAGGACTCCATCAATGCTACTACTACCATGAGCTTTGTCTTTGTTTTTTTAAGAAGGGAAGGAATTAAGTAAACAGTCCTGCTCCCCCCATGCCCTATGGTCCTCTCTCCACATGCAGGGAAAGGCACAATGGGATCTAATGCACTATCCACACAATCATACCTCCTACCATGCCACACATGCAGACAGGAGATGCAATTGTGGGACTGCAGATTAGATCCTCTCTCACGTTATTGCCAACTCAGGGGAGCCTGATCCTGGGCTCCACCTGCAGTGGCAAGAAGCAAACTCCCATGGCTGGGAGCTCCCACAGTAGAGGGGCTTCAAGCCACAGGAGCTCCCTGAGAGCTGGGGGATTGTGGCAGCTACAATCTCCCAGGTTTGGGGGGGTGTGAAATCCCCACAGCTACTACAAGCGCCCCCCACCCCACACACACACCCCCCCAGCTCCTTTCATACACCCCAAGCCTTGGGGATCACAACAGCCGCAGTCCTCAAGGCCCAAAGAATAGATCACATCACCTGGCCACAGCAGTATTCCAAATACCTTTTAAGTGAAACAGGATAGCCAGTCTAAGGATCATAATACAGTATTTCAAATAGAACCCAAATGCCATAGACACCTGAAGATTCTACTGACAAAATACATACCTTATTCCTGAGATGAATTTATGTTACTAATTCATTTATTCATCTAATAAATGATGAATAAATGAAGGTGTTCATCAGGACTGTTAATTCTAACAGTTAATTCATCTAACAGAAATAATTTCAGACAGTCTCAGTGATAGAAAAGAATCTGAATTTATATTAATCTACAAATGTTAGTTTATACCATGTCACTGTAGTCAATAGGGATAGGGTCTAAA